AAAAAAAAAAAAAAAAAAAAAAAAGAGGCAAGAATTTACTTTCAGAAGGCAGAGTTTTTAGAATACACTAAAATGAATGCCCATATATTCTTACAGCATATTATTTGGGACTTATATCTGTGCTAGGTGCAGTGAGGGGTGCTGGTGTCAGTCCCATCTCTCCTGTAGTCCAGGCTGATCATCTTTGTTTAGAGGCATACCAAGGAGATCAGAGTAATTACGTACTCGACTCAGAAAGTACAGTTGGCCTTGTAATGGTCTCAGGATCCAAGTTTGGACGCTCAGGGTCACCCCAGACTGGAATTCAATGTGTAATACCTTCGTCATTCTGGAGCTGCCTCAGTCTGACCCTGCACCCTCAGGAAGGTTAAAATTACATGTATTTCTGGAAGGTAGGTAGAGATGGGTGCAGATGAGGAGGGCAGGATAGGTGGAGCAATTTATATTCAGTGAGAGAGAAGAAAACCAAGATGACATGTTTAGTTAAATAAAAAGTAGTTTGTTATATGTTCTGACGTGGTAAAATAAAACTTAAATTCTTTTCACTTTGATTCCCAACTTCATTACTTATGCTTCTCATAGTCTGTGAAGTGACTTTTGTTTTACTCTAAGTATTGGTTTATTCTACTTAATGTCAGGACCAATGGCAATAAGGGATTCAGAAAATCTATTGGCTCCTGAATTATTGTGCATTTAGAACATTTATCCATCCTGGTTTATCCTAGTAACTTACTTCTTCAAACCGGTTAATATGATGCATCACACTATATTGGACATCTGGATCATTGCTGTGTGTGTATTAGTCCCAAGTTTCTGTTCCATAGTAGACCTCAAAGCCAGTTTAGACATTAGTTTTTTGTTTTTGTTTTTGTTTGTTTGTTTTTTTTTTTTGGAAGTACAGATGCAAGTGACTTTCATGTGTTCCCTAACCAAACTTTTCTTTCCTATTCTTAAAATCCTGTGAATAGCTGTACACAGGCATTCAAGTTTTTAGAATCTCTTCTGTGAATATTTAAAAATAGCTAGACTGCTCATAAGCGCAAGGTCCTGAGTTTGAACTCTGGTACCAAAAAAAAAATAAAATAAAAAAATAAAAATAGCTAGACTGTCAGTGTATATAGATTAAGCACGACTCTGCTGAAGGTAAGGAGGTGAATGGCTCTTGTTGATAAAATTATTTATTTTTGCTTTAATGTTATCATCATTATTACTATTATATTTGTGGTACTGGAGATTGAAGTCAGGGCCTTTGCACTATGCTATATCCCAGCCCCTTTTTATTTTTTATTTTGAGATGAGGTCTGATTAAGTCTTAAGTTGTCCAGGCTGGACTTGAATGTGTGATCCTCCTGCCTCAGCCTCCCAGAGTAAAAGGATTACAGGCATGTACTACCACACTTGGCTAAATATTTCATGCATATGGTAAAATTCATCTTTTTAATTGTATATTTCCACGAGTTTTGACAAATATGTATAGGTGTGTAACCTCCACCACAATCAAGTTACTATGGCTCTTATGATTTCTTTGTGCTCCTCTGTATACAACCCCTTCTGTTACCCCAGGTGTATGGCAGACATTCATCAATTCTCTGTCCCTATAATCACAGTGCCATTTAGATGGAGTCTTAGAGTATGGAGCATTTTGAATCTGGCTGCTTTCCTTTACCATGCTGTATTGAGATTCACCTGTGATGTTGCATGTGTCTCTGTTTCATTAGTCTTCATTTTTGTGATATCATTCCATCACCTGAATCTACCGCAGTTTTATCCATTCACTCTTTGAAGGACATTTGGATTATTTCCAACTTTTGCTAATAATACCTCAAGCTTCTATAACCATCTGTGTACAAGTT